TCGAATGACGGATTGAGTCAAGTCTAATCCCAAAAAATCTTGCAGACTATTTCCAAGCCGGTAAGGGGCATTTTTTTTTTGAAAAAAAAAAAAAATGGATCGGAGTTAAATGAGCTTCTGAGCTCCGACGGGTGCAACAAAATATGAAACGTGCCGATTGAAAGCAGCAGAAAGGATGAGAATAATAAAAAGGAGCAAGAAAACTCAACTATTGATGAAAGAAGAAGTTTTGGATGACGAAGCCAAACCAAAGCAAACAGACTACCATCAAGACGATCGAGAACTGATGATGATCTCTCCTGAACAAGTCGAGTTTCAAGATGGGTTCGGTAGGTTTTTTCCAGCCCTCGCCAGCTTGGAGAGACTCAATCATGCGGTCCTCGAGCACCTTTTGCCAGTAAACAAAGCTTGCCAGGATAAGCACAGCGGAGATAAAAGGCAGTAGCACAACCACTCTGGTCCACCCTTCCCGAGAGCTGATTCCCAGCGCGAAGGTCAGTAACGTCAAGCCCGTGATGATCAGGATCCCTCCTAACCAATCAATGCTTCCTTCTTTGTTGACTCTCGGTTTGTCCTTTGGGATGATCAGCGTTGCTGATACGCAGACAGCAATAGCAGAGGCAGCGCAGAGATAGAAGAACTGTTCAAAAATTTTGCAATAGGGGTCAAACCCCGGATATGATAAGCTAATTGTTCAAATTGTTCGCTCATTATCTTCTCTGAAAGTTTTGAATGAACAGTTGGAGCCAAAAGAATAACTCACAGATCTCCAACCAGGGCCGGTTCCTTGGGTGATAAATCCACCCACTAACAAGCCGAATGTACCTCCCAATGGCGCACCTGCGCTGAGACAAGCGAACCCGACGCGCTTCAGAGTGGATTCCGGCTCGAGGTGGTTCCCCAGGACGCCGATGAGCGAGGGCGCAGTGGCTGCAGCCCCAAGTCCTTGGAAGACTCGTAAGATTGACAGCTGAACATGGGTTCGCGAAAGCGCACAGCCCAATGAAGCCAGGGCGTAGAAGGTAGTGCCCAGCTGAATGAATCGCTTATGGCCGTACTGTTTGGTTCATTTTTGAATGACACGTTGATCATGATGGATAAAAAAAAAAGGAAACGTAGTCTGAACGTTAGTTCTCAGCTTGGTGATCAATTTGATAGAGGAAAGTGTGATGAGATGTCAAGCAAATCAGATCAATGGGAAGACCACCATTGATGGTAGTTTTCCAGTTGGAAATTGGACAAAAAGGAAAAACGCGGCAAAGGTGATTTTGGAAAGAGAGACCGACCAGATCAGCCAGTCTTCCAAACAACAACAAGCAGCTACCAAAACCAAGTGGAAAGCCACTCGAGATCCATTGCAAATCACTGGCTTCAATATCTGTTAAAGAAAAGGAAGAGAATTCTCAGCTGTCTCTTCATATATATCCAGTATATTATAGTACAGTGGATGCTTTACCTAGTTCTCGCTGGATGCTCGGGATCAGAAGGTTCAATGACAAAGAGGTAGCATTCTGTTTGAGTTGACAATTGTTTTGTTTGTGGAAGTTAGCTATCAAAGTGAAGTTTAATCTAAAAGTTCCAACCGATATATTACAAAGCAAAGATGGTTCAATCTCAAGGCCAAATGAGTGAATCCACTAACGCTAACGACGAAGGCGGTGACGCAGATGATTATCATGCCCAAGGCTCTGGCCACGGAGATTGGCTGGGGCTCTCCCTTGGGCAAGGTAGGAATCGTGGAGGTGTGTGGCGGGGCGAACAGGTGGATGATAGGATTGAAGGTCGAAGTGAATGATTCCTTCGGTTTCCTTACCCCGTGACCATCAACCTGAGTGGTACTGACGGACTTGGTCACGTAAGACTTCAAATGAGTCGGCGAGGAATGGCGGTTCAGGATCGACTTGATAGGTTTTTGGGCTTTCATACCGTCAGTAGACATGATCGTTACTTTGTGCGCTTTCTCGTATTAGAGAAGATGCAATGGGGAGGGGGGAAGGATGCTCTAAAGTATGTTATTTCTCCCTCGCCTTTTTTGGATAACTGCGGGTTTTGTTGGGTTGGGTAACAATCAGAAGGAGATCTTCAACCGGAAAGAAGTACTTTGAATTAAAGTTAAAATGTAGGACTAAAAGAGTTTCGGGAAATGGGAAGTGGGTCGGTTATATTATAAGAGGGGTTTTGGGTCTCAGGTGATAGTCAATACTACGCTCCGAGGAGTGAAGGGATTATTGGCAATTTGAATCTTTAGCGTTAGACGAGGTGGGTGACTAAGAGTCGGCTTATAAGCAACTCCTACTATGTTTTCTTATTGAGTGTGCTGATAGCTGGGAAGAAGGGATGAGGAAGTTGGTTGGATGGCTTCTCTTCCGAGAACGCCGAGGTGGAATGCTGGACTTATGAACCAGTGAGCAAGTGAGAGATAGGCGGCCAGCCCATCAGCGGCTTCGTCCCAGCCGAATGCCCAGCAGATGCTCAGCCTGGGGACTGGTGATCGCGATCGGCAGGGAAGGATGTGAAGAGAGAGGATGGGAGCACTGAAATCACCCAAACCGGATCCCGAAGCTTGATTGGTTGGTTGCTATTGGGAAACTGAAGAGAGGACGAAGGAGGCCGGTTTTCAGTTCGGCCGATGAAGAGTGGTCAACAAGCAAAACCCAGATGATAGATCCACTGAATCATCCAGTCTGAGTCTAGTTCTTCTTGGTCCTCTGCCCCCCTTTGAGTTTGACAAAACGGGATTTTTTTTTTTTGAAAGCAACTCCATTGCCCGGTTGAGGTTGATCCTCATGACGGAACAAGACAAAAGGTTTGCTGGAAACCTTGACTAGAAGCCAACCTTGAAATTGTCATCGGCGCTGTTCTGCTGGTTATGTAGTTCGATTCAAGTCCAACACACTAATCAGCTGATTGCAGTCACCCAAGACACAGCAAGAACCAGGGAAAATATGTAGTGGATAAATATTGATTTATTTATTTATTGATTTCTCTTGCTCGCGGCCATCTGAAGTTCGATCTCGTCGGTCATCCTCGATTCATCTCCACTCCACAAACAGTGCATATGCACTGGACTCTCCACCCTTCTCCGGCTTGCAGCGGGCGGGATGCCCGAGAACGGCGAGCCTGCTTCCATTCGATCGCTTCCATCGCCTTCCCCACCCAGCTGTATCGAGATTTGAGTATTCCCATCGGCCGGCTTACATAA